TGCAATTGATAACAAAAGGCTGGTTGTCATGACGATACTGAAGAACCACTTCTTCACTGTCTGTCGAGTTCAAATCAATATACCTGATCTCATAGTATATTGAATCTGTTTAAATTAAAGAAAAACTTAGTTAAGCTATATGGTTACCTCGACAAACAAATGAATATTACTTAGAAACCAGTAAAGTATTTGAATGCATATCAACTCAGAGACCAGTTATGCAATGGCAACTGATTTTAGAGTGTAATTTCCTCAAAATCTTGTTCTATTTTCATACCAGCCATAGAACAATCAAAATTCATTTTTATACCAATGAACAATATAAACAAGTTTGACATGGTTTGGATGGATATTACCCAAGTTATTAAGCGCCTTCTCATCACTATTGGTAAAAATTGCGAGACTAGAAACCGACATTTTCTCACAGTTTGGTGAAACTTATTTATTCTCACTGACATTTGTGGGAAGTGTTTAATTCTATTTTATAGTCAATGTTGAAAAATATAAATTTGTTGCTGTTGGTGAGATTTAAAATTCTTAGTTCATTGACAGGAATACAAATCATCACAAATTCATTGGTGGACTTACTAACATTTGTTCAACAAATTTCCATCCCAAAATTATTGGTGAAATGAATATCAAGTCTTACTAAACGTAGAGAATCACTCGCGTCATGCAATTTTTACTAACAGAGTTTAGGTATTGAAAAAAAAAAATGAAGCACTTCCATTAGTCAGTGTGCTCTCTAACAAAAGTGATTCTGTAGGAATCTTGAGACAAAATGGAATCCCCAAAATCAAGTTGAAACAGTTTCATTGACTGCTAAGGAGGTCAGTTTTCAAGGAAAAAAAAAACAATTTTGTGTGAGTGTTTGATGGCTTGAGGCACAATCAAAAATGTTGTGGTCCCTGATTTCCTTCATACTTAGATGATTAAAATTATTTACATAACATGTATATTATTATCAATTACAATTTCCATAACTATATTAGGTATGATGTTTTTCAGTGCTGTGTCATATCGGTTTAGAGGGCACACTCATCTAGTACACACCGTTTCACAACCAGACATTCTCGCTTAAATTGTTCTGCACTTTATTATATTTTTCAATATTTCTGGAAATGAAACTCTAATTTTGGAGCCAAGAGACAACATTTTAGTCAATTTTTACTCATTTGGCTATTTTCGTCCTAATCTTCAGACGAAAAGTGCAGACTATGAATGGAACTATTTTGTTAATTTGTGCCAAAAAGAGGGAACTGGTGGTGAAAAGGTCAAGCAAGAATAATAATTTCTCATATTCTCGACTGCATGTATAATAGAAGCATTATCATGGTATCACAAACTTAGTTAAGCAACACACTCCTTTGCAGTATTCTGCAATTATATTTCTTACTGTATTTAGTAATTTTCATCATCTTTTCCGGAGAATTTTATTCAATTTTTGTTAGAAAATGAAAAAAAAAATTCAGCAATAAGGATTTTTAATTTGCCTTGTTGTAAATCAACAGTATAGAGATGTGCATGTGATAATCTCAATACAACAAGCAATGCATGGCACATTTCCAAATAGTTATCAAATTTAAGATACATAGTTTTGTTTATAGTAATATAGCTGGAATATAATTATGATGATTGTTTAACATTAAAAAGATTGACATTGTCATGTATGATGTACAGTATGTGTGAAGTTTGATTGGTCCAGGCATTTCTAAGATACAGGTCCAGACGCACAGATGCACGGACACACGGAGGTCAAAACATAAGTCCCCGTTTTCGGACTGTATACTTACCAGGTGACGCATTGAGTTCTTCTGCTGCATTCCATGTTAACAAAATATAATCAGATGTAGCCACACCAGTAACATCAAGTGGTACAGAAGGAGCTGCAGACAGAAAATGATAGTAAGGTGATGTTTGGACAAATATTGGTGAGTGAACAGAGACAACTGCAAGGACATCTCATTGTGAGTACATGAATTGTGAATTGTGAAGATGATTGGTCTGATTGTAGTCACAAGTCATTCTGCTAAGCTGATTGGCCAGAATTATGTCATGAGACTTACTACTAATTAGCCTATTTGGTAAATCCACTCACATGACATGGTGCTTACAGATGATTGGGTAGAAAAATATCATATGAATTACTGCAGGTTAGAGATGTCAGAGAGTAATTTGGTGATGTCACTCAGCAGTTTGGGGATGTCATGGTTAAATTGGTGATATCACTCAGCTTGTTAGTGATGTCATGGTTAAATTGGTGATATCACTCAGCTTGTTAGTGATGTCATGGTTAAGTTTGTGATGTCACTCAGCAGTTTGGGGATGTCATGGTTAATTTGGTGATGTCACTCAGCAGTTTGGGGATGTCATGTTTAAGTTGGTGATGTCACTCAGCAGTTTGGGGATGTCATGTTTAAGTTTGTGATGTCACTCAGCAGTTTGGGGATGTCATGTTTAAGTTGGTGATGTCACTCAGCAGGTTAGTGATGTCATGGTTAAGTTTGTGATGTCACTCAGCAGTTTGGGGATGTCATGGTTAATTTGGTGATGTCACTCAGCAGTTTGGTGATGTCATGGTTAAGTTGGTGATGTCACTCAGCAGGTTAGTGATGTCATGGTTAAGTTGGTGATGTCACTCAGCAGTTTGGAGATGTCATGGTTAAGTTGGTGATATCACTCAGCTTGTTAGTGATGTCATGGTTAAATTGGTGATGTCACTCAGCAGTTTGGAGATGTCATGGTTAAGTTTGTGATGTCACTCAGCAGTTTGGGGATGTCATGGTTAAGTTGGTGATGTTACTCAGCAGTTTGGGGATGTCATGGTTAAGTTGGTGATGTCACTCAGCAGTTTGGAGATGTCATGGTTAAGTTGGTGATGTCAGTCAGCAGTTTGGAGATGTCATGGTTAAGTTGGTGATGTCACTCAGCAGTTTGGGGATGTCATGGTTAATTTGGTGATGTCACTCAGCAGTTTGGAGATGTCATGGTTAAGTTGGTGATGTCACTCAGCAGATTGGAGATGTCATGGTTAAGTTGGTGATGTCACTCAGCAGTTTGGGGATGTCATGGTTAAGTTGGTGATGTCACTCAGCAGTTTGGAGATGTCATGGTTAAGTTGGTGATGTCACTCAGCAGTTTGGAGATGTCATGGTTAAATTGGTGATGTCACTCAGCAGTTTGGAGATGTCATGGTTAAGTTGGTGATGTCACTCAGCAGTTTGGGGATGTCATGGTTAAGTTGGTGATGTCACTCAGCAGTTTGGAGATGTCATGGTTAAGTTGGTGATGTCACTCAGCAGTTTGGAGATGTCATGGTTAAGTTGGTGATGTCACTCAGCAGTTTGGAGATGTCATGGTTAAGTTTGTGATGTAACTCAGCAGTTTGGGGATGTCATGATTAAGTTTGTGATGTCACTCAGCAGTTTGGGGATGTCATGATTAAGTTTGTGATGTAACTCAGCAGTTTGGAGATGTCATGGTTAAGTTTGTGATGTCACTCAGCAGTTTGGGGATGTCATGTTAAAGTTTGTGATGTAACTCAGCAGTTTGGGGATGTCATGGTTAAGTTGGTGATGTCACTCTGCAGTTTGGTGATGTCATGGTTAAGTTTGTGATGTCACTCAGCAGTTTGGGGATGTCATGTTAAAGTTTGTGATGTCACTCAGCAGTTTGGTGATGTCATGGTTAAGTTTGTGATGTAACTCTGCAGTTTGGTGATGTCATGGTTAAGTTTGTGATGTCACTCTGCAGTTTGGTGATGTCATGGTTAAGTTTGTGATGTAACTCAGCAGTTT